GCACTTCTTCCAACACAGATCTGTTTGTTCTTTTGGCAGCCCATGGCACTGTCAATATTCTCCTCCAATACCATAACTCAAATGCATCAGTTCTTCTATGGTCTTCCATATTTACTGTAAACTTTCACATGCATATGAGGTTATTGAAAATACGATGGCTTGGGTCAGGTTCACTTTAGTCTTCAAGCTGACATCTTTACTCTTCACCACTTTAAAAAGGTCTTGTGCAGCAGATTTGCCTAATGCAGTACGTCATTGGATTTCTTGACTGCTGCTTCCATGAATTTTGATAGTTAATCCAAGAAGAATGAAGTCCTTGACAACTTCAGTCTTTTCTCAGTTGATAAGAATGTAGTTTATTGGTCCAGTGGTGAGAATTTTTGTTTTCTTTACATTGCGATGCAATCCATACTGAAGCCTGTGCTCTTTGATCTTCATCAGTAAATGTTTTAAGTCTTCTTCACTTTCAGCAAGCAAGGTTGTATCATCTGCATATTGCAGGTTGTTAATGAGTCTTCCTCCAATCCCAATGCCATGTTTTTCTTTATATAACCCAGCTTCTCGGATTATTTGCTCAGCATACATGTTGAATAAGTGTGGTAAATGAATACAAAGCCTGTTGCACACCTATCTTAATTTTAAACCATTCCGTTTAAACTGCCTCTTTGACCATGTACAGATTCCTCATGAGCACAGTTAAGTGCTCAGGAATACTCATACTTCACAATGTTGTCCATAGCTTGTCATGGTCCACACAATCGAAAGCCTTTGTGTAGTCAATAAAGCACAGGGAAACATCTTTCTGATATTCTCTGCTTTCAGCCAAGATCCATTGGACATCAGCAATGATATCCCTCATTCTAGGGCCTCTTCTGAATCCGCCTTGAACCTCTGGAAGTTTTCTGAGCTCCTTACTCAACTTTAATTGATAGTTTTGATCCATGTTGTTTTTACCTTATACTGTCTGAAAGAGTTTGAGTTACAAGTCAGTTCTTCTTTTCAACTTTTTCAGTGATGCAGTCTAGTAAAGGGGAGAGAGCCTTCTTAAATAAATCAGTTTAAAGTTAGAAAACAAAAACTAGGGTGCTTTTGTTATTTATTTATTTATTTTTAAATCATGACTATATCAGAAGTATTCTATTTGCCAATATGGAGTCTTTATTCTGGTGTTATTTTTTTAAGTTGCTTTTTTAATTGTCTGTATGTTTCTTTGCAGTTGGTCTCTTCCCATGGCGATGTCTATTTGCCACCGTGGCTCTGGTGTTGCCTTAAGTGCAGGTATGTATGTGTTTCTATACATACACACACTTTTTTTTAAAGGAATTTTGATTTTTCTGTAGCTTTTGTAACTGCCTCCTTTGTAACACAACACTTAATTTAGAATCCATATGGTGCATTCATTTCTTTAACAATCATGAATTCCTACTATGCTCAGGTACTTTTCTTAGCAAAATTTAAAATCATCCCTAGTATTTTTCTTAGCAGAATTTAAAATCATCCCTAGTACATCTTGCTGTTTATTGAAATTACAGAAACCACAAATAGAAATGTCATGTAGAAAAAGTGGTTCACTATTGACCAAACACAATCCAGGATCTGTCATCAATCTTATTCTTCCAGAAACTCAGTTTTAGCACCCATTTTTTGACACCCAGAATTGACCAGGCTCAAACGATAAACTTATTAATCAATCTCTTGGTTTACAAACCAGAATGTCAGTTTACATAATCTTGATTTATGAACCAGAATGTCAGTTTATTATTTTGTATGATAAAACATCGGAGTCCTGGTGTGGTGCTGTTGTTATGTGCCATTGAGTCGGTACTGACTCATAGTGACATTATGCACAACAGAACGAAACACTGCCTGATCTTGGACCAACCTCATTACTGTTGATATGCTTGAGTCCATCAATGCTGCCACTTGGCCAATTCATCTTGCTGGGGGGGTGCTCTTCCTCTTTTTCTCTGACCCTCCACCTTACCAAACATGATACCTTCTCCAGTGACTGGGCCCTCCTGATAATATATCTAAAATATGCGAGACGAAGTTTGGCCATCTTGGCCTCCAAGGAGCACTCTGGCTGCCTTCTTCCAAAACAGATCTGTTGGTTCTTTTGGCAGTCCATGGCACTTTCAATATTCTCCTCCAACACCATAACTCAAAAGCATTAATTTTTCTACGGTCTTCCTTATTCACTGTCCAACTTTCGCATGTATATGAGGTTATTGAAAATACCATGGCTTGGGTCAGGCTCACCTTAGTCCTCAAGCTGACATCTTTGCTCTTCAACACTTTAAAAAGGTCTTGTGCAGCATATTTGCTTATTGCAATACGTCATTTGATTTCTTGACACTACTCCTGTGAATGTTGATAGTTGATCCAAGAAGAATGAAGTCCTCGACAACTTCAGTCTTTTCTCCGTTGATAAGAACATTGCTTATTGGTCCATGATGGTGTGGTGCTGTAGGATAAGCTAATTACAAGGTCAGCGATCAAACTCATCAGGTACTCCTTGGAAATTCTGTACAGAGCCATTGTGAGTCAGAACCTCTATATTAGGAACAGGCCATCCCCCCAAGGAAACATCCGTTCAGTTGATTGGCTATTTATAGCTAATGATTATAATGTTAGCTATGCCTATATTAGATTTTACCATGGGGATAACCTCATCTCAACTGCCAAACCACTGGGAATCATGACTGAGTTAAGTTTACCCAAAACCTTAAATATCATGGTCCACTTCTTGTCACCTTGGCACCTATAAACTATATGCATAATCTCTAAATACAACACCACACTAGAA